AGCATGTTATATCATGTGCACAGTTGGCCATCTGCAGGGTTAAAACTCAACCCTACCCTCTTCCAGATGGTGCAGCCTCACTTTAGACTCATGACAGCAAATGAATATGCTCATATGTATTCAGAGTACTAAGGGTTAACCTATGGGACAGAATGAGTGAAACCAGAGGATCAGCTGAACTGACTGGGGAGAGAAATGGTTGGAACACCCTGATACCTGCTCAGAGATTTTCCATTCTTCTCCTTTTCACTTAGATAAGTAGCCCTCAAGTTTAAATGTCCATAAGAACTAGTAAATTTGGTTACATGTGGGTAATTTGAAGGTTTGTCAAGAGCAATCACTGTTATAATTAGTTTTCCTTAGATTGACCTTGAAACTTAACTTCCTCATAATGATGTGATATTTGAGTATTAAAATAGTTTTAACTCTTAGCCACTAAGCAACAACAAAAGAGTCTATCTGTATTTAATCTAGGTTTTGTATGCATGTGTAAGAGGAATGAGACCCTCAAAGAGTTCCCAGACATTGCTTTTGCCTTTAGTTGGTGTGGCAGTGTCCTGATTTGCCCAGAACTGAGGGTGTTCCCAAGATGTAGGACTCTCCATTTGTGACACCAGGACATTAGCAGACAATCTAAGATGAGTTAATAAATTTACTTTGAGTCTTTATCTTCTTCCCCATTGAAACCGGTAACAGAGAACCACCAAGTGCCCAGCTAGGTTGATGACTAGGAAAGATGGAAAAGGTGAAATTCATTGTCTCCTATGTTTGCTATAGAGCAGAGATTTGAAGGGCAAAGGCATCAAATAGGACTGAGTAATTCTCTAAGCATCTAGCTCTCAAACACAGGACTTTAGAAGTGTTTTTGGTTTTGTTTTGGAAGTTTTGCATTCAAAGTAATATCACTAGATTTTTTAATGCAGAGTACCCACTAGTAAATCCATCCACCACATGAAACCATAGTGGGATTATGCAAAGAAAAATGGCCCAACCTGAAAGGCATTTGAATATCATTGAATCAGTGGTGCTCAGAGTTGTCCCTGGACCTACAGCATAAGCAACTACACACACACACACACACACACACACACACACACACACCCTCCCCAGGAATTTGATAGAAAGGCAAATTCTCAGAGCCTGCCCCAGACCTTCTGAATCAGAATCTCTTAAGGGTGATAAGCAGGTATCTGTTTCAAGCATCCAGGGGATTCTGATGCACATTTATGCATGAGCAAACTAAAGGCAAAGTGGGAAATCTACTGTGTGGCCTGCGGGATCTCAAAAGTCATTCTCTAACAGACATCACCAGTTGCCAGTGCTTCCCCAGAGAACACAAATTTTACTCCCAGGCTGAGGCCGCAGTGTGACACCAGCTTTCTCTTGCTCACCTAAAAGTCTTCCAGCCTCAGGTTATTTCAGCACTGACTGCCTGCCACCTACCACATATGGCCTAGGACATCAAGGATACATGCTTCAGAAACTAACCAACTATTAGAAGAATAGTAGGAGACAGGCGTTACTAAGGGAGAAGTGTGTAAAACAGGGGTAAAGGGGAAGGGGAGGAGGAGGGCTATACGAAGAACTGTGGGAATAAAGGGGAAGAAGGGACTTCAAAGAGGTGGGACCATAGCATGCAAAAATTATCGGGGGGGAAATGGGGAAAATGGGGACACTTTAAATGGGAAGGGTGGGGAGGGAGAGAGGAGACATAAACAGTGCCTAGCTAGTATAAAAAACCAGAGGGAATGCTATTAGTCCAAAAACCTACTGAAAAATTGCACATGCAATATCCCTATGTGAGTCTGTGAATATAGCTGAAGACCACATAACAAGAAACAGTGCCAGACAGGAGAAACCTTCCTTTGAGTTGTTGGCCAGGATAGTCCAAGAGACTCCTAAAATTACACAGGCTATTGCCACAGTCCTTGATTGGCTCCCAGAACTTGATGGTAGGACCCTATTTCTGAAGATAGTACATACTTTGGACACAGGATTTAGACCAATGGAGCTGAAACTGACCTGGAAGCCACCTCTCCTGAAGAGTAGCTCTCATAACTTTGGAAAGCACTATGAAAGCTGGTAGAACATCAATTGATGGTCCAATCCTCACTTCAAGGCCTAAAAACCACATCAGTGACCAGCACAGCAAACAACATTCGTGAAGTAGTGGCACTTTTATCTTGGGGGTAATCAACAGCTCCGTAATTGGACTTAAAGCACAGTCAATGGTAGGAAACTCATGTCTGGTACTGTAAACCTAGCCAAATACACAAAACTGGACAGATCATAGATCTTAGAGAAATCATATCCCTAGACAAATGTAAGTTCTTACTATGTGCAAAATATGGATCCTTTAATTTACACGCACATATCCCAGTCATCACCCATTGAAGTAGACACCAAAGTTAGCAAGTAGGCCTGTGCCTGAAAGATTCCCAGATCTAGGAAGGGAGTGCCATGTGTCTGAAAATCGTATCACTTCTGGTATGACTCTGTTTCTCCTTTGGAGTGTATAACATTCCAAAATCCCAACCCATGGTATGTTGCTGCCCACAGAGGTTAGGTCTTACCTTAGTTAACCTAAAAAAGATAATCCCTCACAGGCATGCCCAGAGGCCTGTTTCCCAGGTGATTCTAGATTTCATCAAGTTGATGATTAAGATTAACCATCTCAACTCTCATTTATGAAGCTCCCTCATGCAACAGAGGGCCATGAACACAAAAGGGCACAAATGGCCAAAGCATAGAGAATAGGAGTCTGCAGAGTGTGGGTCTTTGGACAGGACTCCTATATTAAACTTCACCCACCCAGGGCTCAGGGACCATTGTGGAAGAAGGGGTGGGAAGATTGTAAGAGTCAGGGAGGAGGTGCATGACCATATGGAAACAGAGTCTTACAGGATCCTGGGACCCTGCTCATATGAACCTACAGCAATGGTGTCAGCATGCACCAAACAAACCCAAGCATATAAAACCCCATCGCAGAACTGTGGAAATGAACAGCAGGCCCCAATCTTAGTTGAAGAATTATTAGCAGCTGATTACTACTGAGTGAGGAAGAGCTGATCTTCTTAAAGAGAGAGACTCTGGATAGGTTGACTAAACCCCAGTGGATGAACTTGCACTTTGGGACACTAACTTTACATAACAGGCTTTAACACAAATGAAAGAATGTATGAACTCCAGTGGGGGCCTATGGGAAGGTGCCAAAGGGGAAGGCAATATAAAGATGATTTTATGTATGAAATAGACAAAATTCCATTAAAAAAAATTTTAAGTACAAAATTGTAGAACCAGCCCATGAATAATCATAAACAAGAAGACTATAATAAAGTAAGTTTTCAAGAAATACAGAAAGATTTGAGAAGGCTGTGGGTGCCCAAGTTATGAATCTAGTAGAGCAGGACTCAATTGTTGATTCTGTATATGAGCCAAACAGAGAAGTAAAGCAGGCATATTTCTACCTCCTTTTGTCCATTCCAAATTATTTTAGCCAATTTGTATTATTTTCTAATATAAAATTAGTGAGATTAAAAAAAAGAAAAGGAAAAAGGTTTTACTGACTTTGCCATCACAACCTGGTTTTGATTGTCTGTTGTAGCATTTTCATGAGGAGCTTGCCCTGCAGATGGTGGTCAGCACTGGAATGGTGAGAGAAACGGTCTTCAAGTACGCCTGGTTCTTCTCCGAACTTCTGGTGAGAGTCTTACATTTGTATCTGTGCTCAGTAGGACAGAGCACATAACGGAAAGACAGTGGAGTCTCCCTGTCGGGAACTCGCTGAAAACCTGGGATTGTTCCTTGAAATTCAACCCTCCCTCACCACCCATCTTCCCACAAACTTTATTGACTCCACCTTGACTGCCTACCTTCAATCTTTGCATCTCATCTTGGCCCTGTCCTGCCAAACCACCATCATTTCTCATGTGCCTCTTCTAGAATCTTCCTTTTTCTCCTTTCTGTATCCATTTTTTTCCTCAGCTCATCATCCATCCTGCCCAGGGCAGTGAATATTGCAGATTGAATCAGTCTCTTCTTTAAAGCTCTTCAAGGATTCTTAGGGAACTGGAAATGAAGCACTAGGTTTTTAGAGCGTGGCTAAAGGCTTTTGCGTGATCCTATTGTGATCTATAAGTGCATCTCGGGCCGTGTGCTGCCTCCTCATTCAGTTGCATTGTTTCCCATTTAACTCTTCGAAGCTACCGCAGCCTTTTCAGCCAAAAAGTTAGCTTTGGTTCTCTCCCACTTCATAATTTTTGATTCCCCACCTCCAACACAGTTTCTACTCTGTTCTTCAGGCTCCAACTTAATTGTCACCACCTGCACATCCGTTCTCTTCGTCCTGTAGAGTCTCCACATAAGCCTCACATTCATTTCCTTTCTAACACTTACCACAACTTGTCATTGCTTTTCTGTCTTACCTACTGGATTTCTAGATTTCGAGTCTCTCTTCATTATTCTGCCTTTAGCCTCTGCACACCACTTGATGTCATGTACACAATAACAAACTATAATAATATTTATTGGAAAAAATATGAAATTTGTATATTTATCCTACAACTGCTGTCAGTCCTCCAGCAGAAAAGAGAATGCTACAATAATAATTCCTTTATTTTAAAATAGTAACAGAGGCTCAGTGGTTAAGCGCACTTGCTGCTCTCACGGAGGACCCAAGTTCCGTTCCCAGCACTTACATAGCCGCTCATAACCATCTGTAGCTTCATTCCCAGGGAATCCAACACCCTCTTCTGGTCTCTATAGGCACTAGGCACACAAGTGGTGCACATTCATACATGCAGACAAAACACTCACACACAGAAAATAAAATGAAATATTTTAAAAATTAATTAATTAAATAAGAATAATAATGATACCTGTCTCTGTTTCAGTGAAAATGAACATGAAAGGATTTTGTCATAAAGTTCATTAAGAATAGAGGTTGGGGAGATGGCTCAGTGGGTAAGAGCACTTGCTTTACGAGCATGAGGGCCTGAGTTTGAATCCCCAGTACCACATAAGAAACCAGGTATGACTGTAACCCCAGGTTTGGGGGGCAGAGATAGGTGGATCATGAGAGTTCTCTGGCCAGCTAGCCTAGCAAAAACTGAGAACTTCCAATTCAGTAAGAGATGCTGTCTCAAGGACAGTAGTAGAGGAACACCCTCAAAGCCTGCTGTAGCCTCCACATGAGCATGCACAGGTACATGCACTCACACATACCTACACCACACACACACACACACACACATTCTCTCTCTCTCTCTCTCTCTCTCTCTCTCTCTCTCTCTCTCCCTTTTTGTTTTATTATGGTCCTGAGGATTAAACCTAGGGTTTCACACATGCTCGGCAAACACTCTATATCCTCAACCTAGCATTTTTTTCAGTGTTTCTAAATGGAGATACAGAGTGAAATGATATTAAATGGCAAATGTATAAAAACACAACCAACTGTACAAAATATGTGAACAAACGATTAAGAGGGCTAGGAATGACTGAGATGTAAGGGTAGTGTTGCTTTATAGTCACTGGATTTCTTTGTGACATTAAGTAAACTATCATATATATATTTCGGTCTAGCCCCAGCTGTCCTAGAACTCACTATGTAGACCAGGCTGGCCTTGAGCTCACAGAGATCCTCTTGCGTCTGCCTCCTGAGTGCTGGGATTAAAGGCATGTGCCACCACGCCCAGCAGTAAACAATATTTTAAAGGAAAAAAAATGATAACATTTATTCCCAAGCCCTATTATCTTGATGTGATTCAAGGTGAAGAAAAGGGGAGCAACATTGAGTGATCTGACAGAGAGAGGAAAGAGGTCAAAGCAACTGAAGATGTGAAACCACACATCAGGAGGAAGCAGGGCATGGTGCCTCAGAGTTCAAAGGAATCCAGCCTCATGCCACAGAAACACAGTCCAGATTTGAATCCCTTGGAGTGTGAAAATCGCAGTCCCTAGTCTGAGAATGATTCCAGTGCACTCAATACTTCCACAGAACCACATGGGGGTTTTTGCTAGAATGAATGAGGTTCTTACGGTCCTCCTCCCTACAGGAGTAGAGGAAGCAGCATTCACTTACCTGTCTTCCAGATGACTTCTAGACACACATGCAATGCACTGGTCCCCATCACCTCTGCTTTGTGAGTCCTAAACATAGCTAAAGGACTTTGGAATTTTGGCCAGTTTAGCACCAGGTTTTTTGCCTACAAGCCAAGCTGGTTAAGGTTGTGGCTACAGCTCACCAGACTTTGGTTAATAGCATCATTGGGGTAGGTATGAGTTCTGTGGTCCAGCACAAGGTGGGTTAGCAGCAAAACTCACTCCTCACTTTTTTCTTGAGGCATAGGAGGTATTAAAGCAAACACCCCACACTCTGTATGTCCTGTTTCTATTTGCCCTTATCAACCACCAACAAGCTTCTCCGAAGAGAAGATTCACATGGGTCATGATCTATCTATAAATAATTCATAAAAATAATCCCAAATTCAGCCAGGCATAGTGGCACACACCTGTAGTCCCAGCACTTGGGAGTCAGAGGCAGGCAGATCTCTGTGAGTTCAAGGCCAGCCTGGTCTACATAGTGAGTTCCAGGACAGCTGGTGCTACAGGGAGACCCTGCTTCAAAAAGATGAAAAAAAAAATCCCAAATTCAATGTCAAAATTGAGATTACAAAAGTAAAAGGTGGAGCTGGAGAGGTGGCTCATCATTTAAGCACACGCGCTATTCTTGCATAGCACATGAGTTTGGTTTCCTTCTGTTAATTCTAGTTCCAAGGGATCTGATGCCCTCTTCCATCCTCTGAGGCCACCAAAAATGTACACATACATACATACAGGCAAAATATACACACACATAAAATAAAAATAAATATTATAAAAGCAAACAGCAGGGGCTAGAGAGATGGATCAGTGGTTAAGAGAACTGACTGCTCATGCTGAGGACCCAGGTTTGGTTCCCAGCACCTACCTGGTGACTAATAACTGTCTGTAACTCCAGTTCCCAGGGATCCGACACCAACTTCTGGTCTCCTTGGGCACTGCACAACACAGGTACACTTACATACATGCAGGCAAAACATTCATACACATAAATTTTAAAAATGAATATTTTTAATACAAAAATCAAAAACTACATTTGATCTTGTGGATTCCCATAGAAGAAAGCCCCAAAGAAAAACAGTATTCCAATTCAAAGATGTATTATTTGCCTGTGCATTTGTGTTCATATGCACACATTGCACCTAATCACTCTTAGATCCTAGTAAGCACTATATTTATTGCTTATATTTGTTAATAGGAAACTGAGTCCTTGGGGCAGTGGTTCTCAAGCCTAGCTATGCGAGGGTTCCAATAGTAGCTTTATAGGCTCTGAACCTATCCGTGAAACCTCATTAAATCCCTATGAGAGACTCCTGATCCCAGCAGCATACACCAAGGCTAAGCAGGGATTTGCCAGCCCCCTCAACAGGTCAACCAGGGAAGGGTGGGGCGGAGCCTCACTTCTCTAACTCAAATCCAAGTTCTTTTGCTTCACTACGTTGCCTCTTTGGGAAGCTGAATTTCAAAATTCTTCTCTGCCCAACATACTAACATCAGGCTAAGCCTCCATTTGGAAGTCACCTTTAGTGCAGTGCTGTAATGATTATTTCATTCCTTGCCATCATGAACTCCATACTGCTCAACTTGATCCAGGGCATCTTACATGTAGCTCCATTTTAAAGGTGAATTTGCATTGTCTACAATGACCTTGTCTTTCATATAATCCTGTAGCAGCTCTTATCCCTGAATAAAGGAAAATAATAATATCCAAAGTAAAATAAGCATCTTACCATATGTATGCAACACACTGTTTAAGTATTTTAATATTTTATTTCTTTTTATTTTTTATGTGTATGAGTGTATTGCCCATATGTGTGTAAGTGCACCTATGTCGTGCATTGCCTGTGGAGGTCAAAAGAAGGTGTTGGATCCCCTGGAACTGGAGTTACAGAAGGTTGTTAGCTGCCGTGTGGGTGCTGGGAACTGAACTTGGCTCCTCTGCAAGAGCAGCCAGTGCTCTTAACTGCTGAGCTATCTCTCCAGCCCCTGTTTTAAGTATCTTAAAGCATTATCTCATTTAATTCTTATACAACCTTGAGGTAAAAGTCTTCATAATTCCCAGTTTACTGGTGGAATTAAGGGAAGGGTCACAGAAGGTTTTCCAGGTCAGCCTGGGGCTTTTGCTTCATTGCCCTTAATTATACGAGCTAGGAACCACTGAAAAGGTGAAAACTGTTTTGATCTTACGCATATGTTTACTGGGATTTGTTGGGCCCAAGAGAAAGTAAAATCTAAAGCGAAGAGCTACCCCACCCCCTCCAGGAGTCCCTTACACTACACAGATGACCTAGCTGGGAAGAAAGCTCCCATGGCGCTACGCGCTTTGATGAGGCTGGTCAAAATAAAGATCAACCATGACAGCAGTGCTGTACACAGTGCTGTAACCACTGTCAGGGTCTCAGCAGCATGGAGTGGCATTGCTCACAGAAGTTAATTGAAAAGCATTTAACGCAAGGCTTCTGCCCAGGGTGTCGGCCAAGTTACAGGAGCCAATAAGGATTGTTGGGACACCTAGGGTACAGCAGCTGCCAGAAGCCTTTATCTGTCCTTACTGGAAAGAATCAAAGGGAAAGGACAGTGCAGCTGGGGCATAGAGAAAGCTGGAGAGAGAAAAGAGGGTCCACATGACAGGGGCTATCGCCTTAGAAAAATATTGCTGCTGCCAGGACCACCCTGTGGCAATATGAGTGACAAATGGCCAAACCTTTCTCTTCTCTAACCAGTGAGCCCAGCTGTAGCCCCTCGTCCACCAACTCCAACTGGAAGCCAAAGGGAGGAAGAAGAAAGGGCCAAGTGCTGCAGTGCACAGATGCCTCCCAGTCACAGATGGAGAAGGGCAAGAAATGATTCTGGGGCTGTGGTTGAAGCAATGGAAGCAACTGGGCTTAGCCAGGACTTGGGAAGGATATTGATCTCAGACCCAGGCAGGGCCCTAAGTCCTCCACGCATTGTGACATACTTACCTGACAGATGCTCAGAAAATTATTTAAAAACCAAAAGCAGTTTTCCCTTGTGAAGCTTGAAGAGAAACAAACAACAGTCTCCCGGGACTTAGGCAGCAGCCTGGACAGTTTACCACCTTCAGTGGTGCTGGTGTTCTGGTGCTAAAGAACAGTAACTTTGTCCCAAGAGCTAATGTGCTTAGTCTTGGGTACATTTCACACTTATTAATGAATGAGCTCCTGTGTGTCTAGAAACCACTGATCCAGACCTTAGAGACCCAGAGATAAATGGGTGACCTTATTTACTCACTCAGGACATGATGTTCTATGCAACGAGGTTTCTGAAATATATCACTTTGCTGAATGAGCCACAAAGGCAACTATGGGGGAAAGAATTTTCTACCTTACCAAACCCTACAAATAAATGGACTGAACATCCACTGATATTTCTGCTGTGTTCTTCTCTGGAGAGCCAGGGACACAGTAGCTGGAAGGTTGCTGACAGTCTGGAAAGAGGCCATTGCTGGGAAGCACGGTATTGTGAGAATTATTTATTTGGTTGTAGGATGGCCAAACTCTGCAGGCAGGAGATGATGCAACGAGTTCTAAAAGCCTGGCACTGGGGTGGGTTAGCCAGCAGAGAGTCAGGACTGGGGTCAACTGAACAAAGAAGCTTTGTCTTCCTTGGTGCTCGGCTGGGAGTGCAGAGAGAGAGATGCTTTTATTGAACAAAGATGATATGCAGTTCCTCACCACCACCACCCATTCAAGCCTCACCAAGTGTGTGTGGCTGTTTGGGATGTGGACATGTCCGTGTGTTCTGAACCAGACAGGACCCTGAGGTAAGGAGAAGCCATGATTCTTACACTGGATTTTGTGTTCTCTGGTCTATCCAGAGCTTGTCAGGGCTTCATCTAAAACATGGAACACATAAACACAGCTTTACACTCTCCCCTCTTCTGTTGGCTCCTCTTTGCTTTAACAGAAATTGCCAGTCTTGTATTCTGAGGAAAAAAACTCTGCTTTTAGTGTATGAAAATTGCCATGTTGTACTTCGGAGTGGAAGCCAGTTTCCAAGACTCTCCAGCTGTGACAGAAGGGCAAATGTGGATGGGTCCACCTCCAAGGAAATTGCTTTTCGTTGGTGTTGAGGTTTTCTTGCTTGTTTTTCAGCTAGTTGGGGATGTTGTTCTTGCTTGCTTGTTTCTTTTTAAGGCAATATCTCTCTATGTAGCCCTAGTTAACCTGGAACTAGGCAGAACTCGAAACTTGTAGTGATTCTCCTGCCTCTGCCTCTCAAATGCAGCAATGCCTGACTAACAATTGCATTTTACTGTCACACTCTGAGAAGCCTGGATAAATTCACAAAAATCACCTTAGCGTGTAGGAGCCCAGCCATGAGAACTCCCAGTGTATGAGTTACTTTGCCTATTGCTGTGATAAAATATCCTGACAAAAGCAACTTGATGCAGTTTATTATAGCCCACAGTTCAAGAATATAGTCCTTCAAGGCAGGGAAGCCATGGCAGTCAAAGAGCTTGAGGCAGCTTGTCACGCATCCACGGTCAGGAAGCAGAGAGTGAGGAATGCTCAGCTTGCTTTCTCCTTTTTGTTCAGTCTGGAATTCAGCTCATGGAATAGTGTCACTCACAGAGATGGATCTTCCCAACTTCAGTTAACTAATCTAGATGATCCCTCACAGGCTATCAATATTAACCATCACATACAGTCTTTCCCATCAGACTGTCCCACAAAGCTCTTAGCAAACTTCTAAAAGTATAAGGTTTAACCTCAAATGATGTCAAAAGGGGTGTATTAAGCCTTGGATCTCCTGGCCCCAGAAAGAATCCAAAGAATATATGTGGTCTGGATTTTAAAATGTATAGGCATTAAGCTGGTATTATACTAGTTATCAATTGAGTAATTGATTGATTTGACTACAAGTTAGGCTTAAGAAACTCAAAACATTCCCCCCAAATCTCAGTATGGTGGTACAGGCTTGTGACCCAAACCCTCAGGAGGCTGAGGTAGGAGAAAGCCAAGTTCCAGGCCAACCTTGGCTGTGTACTGAAACTCTGTCTCAAACCTCTCTCCCTCCCTCCCTCCCTCCCTCCCTCCATCCCTACCTTCCTCCGTCCCTCCCTCCTAGTGGCAGTTATGTTTCCAGCTAGCCAACAAAATCCTGATCAAACCGTAGTATAGCTTAAATTGCTAGAAGCAGAAATTCATCTGGTTGTAAACTCTAGAATTGCTCTGGAAATTCACCTCTCTGCTAAGATGAATATTTCTCCCCTGTTCTCCTTGATGTGATTTCAGGGACAGAAAAGACTTCTGTTCACATCCAAACAGCCTTAGAAAAACAGTTTCCTTGCATTTCTTGTCATGTGCTGTGACAGTCTGTGGTTCTGAGAGTTGGAATGGAGGCTGTTGCGGAAAAGGGAGTTCTCCAACGCTGGGGACACCTAGGATCCTGGATTTCTCAGCAGCAGGAAAGGAGGACCCTGACTTGGGGTCAAGAAGAGGACACTTTGCCCACCTCCTGCCACCATGGCAACCCTTCCTGAGTTAGAAGCATCTTGTAGTTCAGAGCCAGCTTGAGCATCACCAACACCAATAAAGTGTTAGAAAGTGCATTGTGAAAGAGCCTTTTTTCAAGTCATTCCCCCTTTGCACATTGTCAAAGCAGGTCAGTCCCCATGTTGACATTGCCCTGTTCCTCTGTAGGTGAAAAGCATGGCCCAGTATGTGCATAACCTGGACAAACGTGACAGTTTTCGGAAGACTCGCTTTTCTGACCGCTTCAAAGATGACATAACTACCATTGTTAATGTGGTTACCTCAGAGATTGCAGCCCTTTTAGTGAAACCTCAGAAGGTAACTTTGTGTCTTTACTGTTGTTTGCTTTGAATATGTTACTTTAATAAGCAGGCAAAATAAGTGTCATTAGAAAACAGTAGCTAAAATATAACAACAGCTAAAATATGCTAGACCAGACCTTGGGATGGAACTGAGGATGGCTGTAAAGAAATGTAATGTTGGCCGGGCGTGGTGGCTCATGCCCTTAATCCCAGCACTTGGGAGGCAGAAGCAGGTGGATCTCTGTGAGTTCAAGGCCAGCCTGGTCTACATAGTGAGTTCCAGGACAGCTGGGGCTACAGGGAGACCCTGTCTCAAAAAAAAAAAAAAAAAAAAAAAAAAAAACAGCAAAAAGAAATGTAATGTTATTTATCATTTAAACTATTCCATCAGTGTAGATGCAAGAGAAAATACTCTTCCTCTTAGGAAATACAGCCTGAAGTTTATGCAGTAAATGGGGATATTTGCCACCCACACTCAAATGGTTCCAAGAAAACAAAACAAAACAAAAAGCTTATATATAGAGAGAGTACAATAGTAGTTTGGTATTTTCAGAAAAATATCAAACATCAATGACTTGTTTTGGTGTGATTCTGGTACCTGTCTATAAGGTTGAAGCC